CACAGGAGCCAGAGATCGGAAGCTCTTTCCCAAGGACCACACAGGGAATCTGTTCTGACCTCAGAGTGGGCTCAGATTCTCCTTCAGTCTCCCACTGGGTCGCCAAAGTTACGGAATTGTAGCGTCTCTGGAGAGTACTCACGTGAATTCCGTGAGTTCTCTCCCCCACCGTCTCTTTTTTCACAGTCTCAGTTCAGTAGCACCACAAATTTACTAGGTCCTAATCTGTTAATTCGCCCCTCCCAGAGTCAGGTTTTTCTGCTAGGCTCAGGGCCGGTGCAGACCTGAGGTCACTCTGCTTATGATGTATGTCCAAGATGGCGCCTGCTCTTTGTCTTGCTCGCCCTTGAGAGGTGAGCGGAGAGAGAGAAACCCATGTCCGTACCGGTCACCTTTTTTTTTCTCTCTCTCTCTCTTCCAGTTAGCCTGGTGAACTCCCCCGCCCCCCCCCCCCCCGGGGTTCGTTCCCTCTAGTCTCCTCTCTCTGCTTGCCTGCCGGTGTCTCGGGCTATTGAGGTTCGGCTCACCTTGCATTCCAGCGCTGGTGTGTTGAGTCTGCCGCTGGTGTCCCAAACTGTGGGCTCCCACGCTCTCCACGCAGGTCCACTGTGAATCACGCGTTCCGGAAGAGTTTCTTCTGCTGTTTCCTCCCCTACTCTTCCTTGAATCTGCAGTATCTCCACTTTTATTAAACTGTCTCTCCCCGGACTATCAGTGTGCTCCCTTCCTATTCCGCCATCTTGCCTCCTCCCGCTGACTTATTCCATAATTTCTTTATCCAGTCAACAGTTGATGGACATCTGGGTTGATTCCATATCTTAGCTATTGTGCTGTAATGAACATGGGAGTACAGATCACTTTTTCATATGTTGATTCAATTTCCCTTTGGTAAATTCCCAGAAGTTTGATTGCTGGTTCATATGATAGAGCCTATTTTCAGTTTTCTGAGGTATTTCCATGCTGTCTTCCACAGTGGCTGCACAAGTTTTCTTTCCCACCACCCATGGATTAGGGTACCTTTTCCCCCACATCACTGCCAGTATTGATGGTCTGTTTATTTCTGTATGAGAGCCATTCTAACAGGCTTGCATTTCCCTGATGGCTAGTGATCCTGAGCATTTTTTCATTTGTCTGTTGGCCATTTGAATTTCCTCTTTTGAAAAATGTCTGTTCAAGCCCTTTGCCCATTTCTTAACTGGATTGTTTCTTTTGTTGTTGAGTTTCTTGAGCTCTTTATAGAATCTAAGATATTAATCCTTTATCAGCTGCATAATTTGCAAATAGTTGCTCCCATTTTGTCAGTTACCTCTTCACTTTATTGAGTGTTTTTTTTTTTTTTTTTTTTTTGTAGTGCAAAAAGTTCTCAGCTTGATGTAATCTCATTTGTCTATTTTGGCTTTGTCTATTTCTAAGGTCTTTTCCAAGAAGTCTTTGCCTATGCCAATGTCTTGCAGAGTCTCCCCAATGTTCTCCTCTAAAAATCTGATGGTATCAGGTCATCGATTAAGGTCTTTGATCAATTTAGAGTTGATTTTTTTATAAGGTGTAAGACAGGTGTCTTGTTTCATACTTCTCCATGTGGAGATCCAATTTTCCCAGTACAATTTGTTGAAGAGATTTTCCTTTCTCCAGGGATTGAGTTCAACTCATTTGTCAAAGATTAGTTGGTTGTAGATGCATGGATTGATTTCTAGAGTTCCTATTCTGTTCCATTGGTCTACAAATTTGGCTGTGACTTTGTACCCAGTAAGCAATCTCTCCCAGGCTCCTTCCCCCACTCTTCTGGGTCCTTGGCTACCACTATTCTGCTCTCCTATGGGCTCAGCTTTGTTAGAGTCCACATCTGAGTGAAATCAGGCAGCATTTGTCTTTCTGGATTATTTCACTTAACCTTATGATCTCCAGGTATATTCATGTTGCCACAAAATAAGATTTTGTGCTTTTTATGGCTGAAGATTATTCTGTTGTGTACATATATCACATTTTCTTATTTCATGCATATCGATGGTTACTTTGATTAATTAGATAGCCTGGCTATCATGAACACTGCTGCAATAAACACGAAAATGAAGCATATCTTTGATATACTGATTTCACTTTCTTCAGAAATATAAGCTGTAGTGGTTTGCTGGATCATACAGTTTTCTATTTTTAAAAATTTTGAGGACCCTCCATAGTATTATCATAGAGACTGTATTAATATACATTTAAAGGTGGTCAAATTCTTAATATATTTTGAAGGTAGAGCTTTTAGGAATTCATGAGGAATTGGATATGGTATTTGAGAGAGTGGCTGAGGATAATTCACGATTTGGGGCTTGAAAGATGGGAGGATATGAGAGCAGATGATTTGGGCAGGAATTTTAGAAGATTACTTCTACAATATTAAGACTGAGACACGTATAAGCCATTCAAGAAGAATTTCAAGCAGGCTGGTGAATATATCAGTCTGAGATTCAAGGAAGAGAAGTCCAGGTAAGAGGTATAAATTTTGGAGTCATTAGCATATAGATGGTTTTAGAGCCATGAAACTCAATCAGATCGATATTTAAGTGACTTAAAAGAGAAAGAAGCCCAAGGACTGAGCTCAGGGCACATGGGTGTTAAGACATAGGTGGGGGGAGGGGATGTGTGGGGAACAGCAAAAGAGATCATGAAGTAAAGAGAAAATCTGTGGAGTGTAGAGTTCTAGAAGCCAAATGAAGAGTGTTTAAGAAAAGGAAGTAACTCAGTGTTTCAAATTAAGGAAATGACCATTGAGTTTAGTAACCTGTATGCCATTAGTGACTTAACGAAATGTAGTTGCAGTGGAGTACTGGGGTGAAACATTCGAGTGAGTTCAGGAGGCATTGGGAAGAGAATTAGGGGTGGCAGGTGTGGACAACACATTCCCCACGTGCTATCATACATGTAAGGCAATCTGTTGGAGTGGAAACTGAAAGGAGAAGCAAGCCAAAGAGTGAATTTACTTGTTGTTTGTTTTGATTGGGAGGATAGTACAGCATGTTTATATCCCTGTGGGAATGACCTACTAGAGAGGAAAAAGGGATGACACTGGAGGCAGAGAATTTCTGCAATGATGGCATTGAGCAAAGCTAAAGGGGGTAGGTTCTAGTTCACCCAGGAAGATGGAAACTCTGATACGGCATATTTGTCAGAGAGAGGAGAGCAGAGTAGGTGGGTAAATGCAAGATGGTACTCTGTGGAAATTCTTTTCTGACTCTTGAGATGAGAGTTGGGATGGAGGCAGAGAACAAGGAAGTCAGAAGGAAAAGGAGATCTGAAAGTCACCTAGGGAATTTGGAGTCCAATAGAGGATGGAGCGAAGAATCCAGCGTGGTTGCAAGACAACACCCCACAGTGAATGGTTATACGTTTCATAGTGAAATCACTCAACACAATGGTGTGTTTTTCTTTAACAACATTCTGCTGAGCAGATGTAAGTGCAGGTAAGTGAGGAACTGGTAGTGTATGACAGAAACCTTTTAAAACATTATGAAGACTAGGCCCCATTCACGGTCACATAATCTCACTTATTTGGTTGGAGAAGAGTCTAGCCATTGGATTTTTTAAAAGCACTCAAGATGATTCTAAACTAAGAGTCAAGCCACTTAGGTAATATACATCTTTCACTTGAAGTAGGTGGGACATGGAGAAAAGCTTGTGGGTTAATCAGATAAAAAGGTAAGTTAACATAAAAATATATGTTAAGAAGAGGTATGATTTGTTTATTTTATCTAGTTCATTTTTAGATAATCTTAGTCTAGAATTTTTGGAGTTGTGAAAATTCCTATGATGCTTAGTAAAGATTAAAGGAAATGTTGTATGTTTCTCATCTCTTGCCTAATCACAAATAAAATGTCCAGAAAATTAAAATGTAATATTTTATGGGTTTGATAGTTTTCAAAAATTATACGAACTTGGTGTGGGTGTTGTGGCACAGCATGTTAAACTGCTGCTGTGATGCCCACATCCCATACGAGTCCAGCTTCCTGTTCATGGATCCTGGGGGACAGAAGATCACAGCCTAAGTGTTGGGGCCCTGCCACCCAAGTCAGAGACCTGGATGGAGTTTCAGGCTCCTGGCTTCAGCATGGCCCAGCCTTGGATTTTGAAGGCATTCAGGGTGTGAACCTTCAGATGGAAATCTCTCTCAACTTGTGCATGCTCTCTCCAGCTCTGTCTTTCAAATAAAAAAATTTTTTTTAAACTAAACAGTATAGAAACAAATCAATTTGTGAGTTTTTAGCAAAATATGATAAATTATATTTTTGGCAAGGATATTTTATGCTAAATTTTAGCCTGAAGCATTTTGGGTGTACGGTGGAAGTTCTGAGAGAGACAGTGTGGAAGAGAGTATGTTTTCAAATGAAACACATTTAGAAGACTGCTGAAAACTTTTTAGTTGATAGCTGGTCTATTACTGTGCAAATCAAAAAGAATGCAAAGGAAAACTTGATGCTTTTTTTCCAAGATATGCCAGATATTTTGTTTTGAAATTAAATTTTGAGTGCAGTGATTTCCTATATATCATATTCTCCGAAGCAATAAAAATTATAAAACAGTTTGCTGTACTTTTGGTAAACAGCAGTATCTCAGTCCTTAAAAGCACAGATAACACTTTCCTACTTTGGGTAAAGAAGATACGCATGTCATAGGCTTAGACAGGTTTCATTTTATCAGCTCATGAAGTTAGCAACTCACAGTGCTCTATATGCATAGGAAACATTCTGAGCAGAACTGTTGGACCAGTAAATGAGTGCACAGTATAATGTGATATTCTTTCCATTTTATGTGAAAAGGCATAAAAACTTACTTTAGAAAAAAATCTATTTTTTTTCTTGTTATGAACTAGGTAGAATTCCCTGCCTTCAGTTCAAAGGCTTTTTATTTGAACAAAGTTCAAGCAGGAATTAGATATCTTCCCTTTTGTTTCCTTTGCTAGTTCTGAAACCAGAGAAGGGAAGCAAGAAATCAAACACTGAGGGACATATTGCATGGGTACCACTTCAACAAAACCGATGCCAGATGCAAACAGCTCAAGAAATAATGGAACTGGAAACAGCAAACATACCAGGGAAGCAAAGGATGTGTATTCCTTCTGCTGTCATTTATACTTTTGTAGTCAAGATTTCAGTTGTACCACAATTGAGACAACTCCATGGAAACAATGTCCAGTGTGCATGCTGCTTCAGAAGCACAGGAATACCTTTGCTGAACTCTGAATGATTGGTAACCATACCTCCTAAAGGGCCATGTTGCTAGGCAACAGCTTGTTTCCTTGGTCACAATGAATCCATGGAAGACCCCCAAAAGAGGCTGCAGATTCTTGGAGGACAGCTCTTCATATCCCCTCCTGGGAACATGATGAAAAATGTCTTCAGAAAAATAGCTTTATGAAGGCAAGAGGATATTTTTGCACCTGCAAGACATGTCGGAAAGGTAGGAAAATGAAATTAAATGTGACCTTTGTCATTACTAGAGAGAAAACAGAAAAACAGGAAGCCTAGAAAGTGTTACCAGACTATATTTCATTTAAAGATGTTAAGTCATGCAGTATGCACTACTGATGGCAGTTGCTTTGAGAGAGAAGCATATCCAACCACCACTCTTTCTCTTGAGTCCATGCAACTGGTTACAAATGCAATGCAATTTCTGTGATCACCGTTGTAAGAGAGAGAGAGGTAGACTTACTCTTTTAATAATGGTAAGTCTATAGATACACAGAGCTCTTTATGAAAGCGTATGTAGGCTTCATGGGGGCAACAGATAAGACAGCTAACAGGAAATAGCTATTAGTATTAACCAGTTAACTTGAAATGAAATTACTATCACAAAAGCAAGACTTGAACTAGCTCATTAAAGCCACAAATCCAAAAGAAAAATTTTTAAGCCACAAATCAAATTAAGTAAGAGGCCAAAACCCTGTTTCCTTCCTTCAAAACTTAGCAGTTTCCTTTCTCAAAATACGATAATTAAACAATACAAAATTAAGGGGTTTACGGGTTCCTCAAAATTTTTTCCTTATATTGCCTTTGTGTATAACCTGGCTCTCACCTTTAAAAACATGAGATTTGTAACTTCAGTTCTCAGGATTTTCACACTGTGGTTTCATTAAGTGTATGGAACTTATTAACAGCTTCCTTCTACTGCCAATGGTGAAGCATTGGAAGATGCTTAGGTAGGGGATCAGAGGCTGAAGGAGGAAGAGAAATTCTCTTTTGCTAGCCCATGATGCACATCTCAAGTGTGAAGTTATTGTGTTGATTTTTTTTTTTTTTTTTTTTTTACAGGCAGAGTGGACAGTGAGAGAGAGAGACAGAGAGAAAGGTCTTCCTTTGCCGTTGGTTCACCCTCCAATGGCCGCCGCGGCTGGCGTGCTGCAGCCGGCGCACCGCGCTGATCCGATGGCAGGAGCCAGGAGCCAGGTGCTTTTCCTGGTCTCCCATGGGGTGCAGGGCCCAAGCACCTGGGCCATCCTCCACTGCACTCCCTGGCCACAGCAGAGGGCTGGCCTGGAAGAGGGGCAACCGGGACAGAATCCGGCGCCCCGACCGGGACTAGAACCCGGTGTGCCGGCGCCGCTAGGTGGAGGATTAGCCTAGTGAGCCGCGGCGCCGGCGTTATTGTGTTGATTTTAATGCGAACAACTCAGTGTCATAATTTGGAGAAACTGGTTCATAAAACAATAGATTTTAAATGGGTAGAAGTTCTTTGTAGAATTGTAAGCCTCACTTTTTTCCCACTTGGTAAAACTTGTAATACTCTGTACCAAACTGATCTTTATTTGTGAGCACTGTATAAAAGGTTTTTTATTATAAGAATTGTTATTTTTCAATTAGTAAACCTTTAGAAAACTCCAATCTTATTTTGACAAGGCCATAGTCATAGCGGAAGTTCTCTCTTCCCTTCAGAGAAAGGTACCTCCTTTGATGGCCTGTTCTTTCCACTAGGATCTCTCTCACAGAGATCTTTAATTTAGGTCATTTTTCTAGCCACAGTTTCTTGGCTTTTGATGTCTGAAATACTCTCAAGGACTTTTTAGCCAGATTCGAATGCCTTAAGGGCTGATTCTGAGGCCAGAGTGCTGTTTAGGACATCTGCTATTCTATGAGTCTGCTGTGTATCTCACTTCCCATGTTGGATTGTTCTCTCTTTTTTAATTCTGTCAGTTAGTATTAGCAGACACTAGTCTTGTTTATGTGATCCCTTTGACACTTAATCCTGTCATTATGAGCAATTATGAACTTAAACTGATCACTTTGACTAGTAAGATGGCATTGATACATGACACCTTAATGGGATTGAATTGGAATCCTCTGGCACATTTCTAGCTCTACCATTAAGGGTAAGTCCGAGTGAGCATGTACTAAACTGTACGTCTCTCTTTTTCTCACTCTTATAGCAAATTTTTTTAAATTAAGATTTATTGTGTGGTTTTGGAATAAAAAACTTAGTTTAAGATGTTTCTGTTGAAATTCTAGGCTTTGTGATAACAGAAATATTTTTGGAATATCTATAAATCAGTTTTTCAGAATAGTTTATTGATATTCTTATGTATTCAATGTGTGAATTTAGTTCTAGGAACTTAGAGCTATCGTATCAGCAAGTAGTAATGATGTTCAAATTTAAAAGCCTCATATACCTAACTTGCCAACCAGCAACTTATAATATAAAATTTTTTCCTGATTCTATAAGAACTTGATTGAGAGCACTCTGTATTATCTCATTAAAATGTTTAACATGTAGATACCTGCTTTACAAAAGAATGCAATCTATGCATGGGGGGAGCAGGAATTATGGGTGTTAAAAAATAGGGGTCAGCACTGTAGCATAGTGGATAAAGCAACCACTTGATATGCAGACATCTGAAATGGGTACCAATTCAAGTCCTGGCCGCTCCACTTCCAATCCAGTTCCCTGCTGGTAGTCTGGAAGAAGCAGCAGAGGATGGTTCAAGTGCTTGGACCCCTGCCACCCACTGAGAGACCAGATGAAGCTCCTGGCTTCTGCTTGGCTCTGCCCTGGCCTTTGTGGCCACTTGGGTAGTGAACTATCGGATAAAAGATTGATCTCTCTCTCACTCGCTCCTTCTCTCTGTAACTCTTTCAAATACATACACAAATCTCTCTTTAAAAAAACTGAAAGATAAAAGAATGGTTTAAGAAAGCAAAGACTGAACTTCTATCTCCTTTCATCAAAATTTAATGCACTAGAGTTCAGAGTAATTTCCTTCTAGACCATGTCTCAGTGCAAACTGTTGAAATCTTTACTTAATATATACTAAATTGATCTTCTGTATATAAAGAGAATTGAAAATGAATCTTGATGTAAATGGAATGGGAGAGGGAGAGGGAGATGGGAGGGAAGTTATAGGTGGGGGGAAGCCATTGTAATCCATAAGCTGTACTTTAGAAATTTATATTTATTAAATAAAAGTTAAAAAAAGAAATGCTTGGTTTTCTCAAGATCTCACTGGATTTGAGAACTTTTCTCAATATTTTTGGGAGGGGAGATGAGATTTGATAGAAGAGAGGGTTTTTTGCAAAGTGAAAAATAAGTCTGAGCTTCCTTCATTCCTATCTGCGATAAAGCTGTCATGATAAAGCAATGAGTATATAAATGGAACATTTAGAAATTAAGTTGTATTTAATACTATTTTGACAACCTTTTATGTCTTAAAGGAGCCTTCCGGTCTGTATGATGTGAATCCAATCCCACTTCATTCAAATCCAGTGCTCAGCTTCCCCTCAAGAACCAGGCCACCTGCCACTTCCTCCTTCACTAGACTTACACAGTTACATAATCACCGATTTGACATTTTAATTAAACAGCACCCGTTGCAGCAGACGATTTATGAAGCTTATGGGGTTGTGATTGTAAAGGACGTTGCAATCTTCTGATGGAAGGTGCTCATGAACCGATGTCCTCTTACTGTTGTTTTCCATCAGGCAGTCTCAGCGCTCCTGATTCCGTCTTGTTAGCTGGTCTACACTTTTCAAAACCAAGAATAGATGGCCAATTCCGATAACGCCACCTATTTTAAAGACTCTATAAATCATGGCTGGCGAATGCTGTACAGTTTTAGCCATGACATCCTCTCCATGGCAGCTTTATATTAGAACATTAATAAAATAAACTCCGCTTTCATAAGAGTTTAGATTTGTAATTTATGATAACTGTTTGTTCACCACAGGCAGAAAGATTAAAAATGAGTAAACCAATATACTAACTAAACTGCATATGTCGGTTTTTATGGGAGGGGGAAGGGGAGTTAGGAGTGGGTTATAAAAACAGCTTGATGTTATCTGCTATGGTGTTCTCACAGGTTCTGCTGCTGAAGGCTGAATTTTGGCTTTCAGTAAATAACTGCTCAAATTTAAAGGTTCTATTAACCTGTGCAATTATTTTTATGTGGTTAAGCAGAACAATCAGAATAGGGCAAAATCAATGTTAATGATTTTTCTTAATAAAAACTGCACCATAATTATGATAGAGCTCTATAATCACTTAAAGGAGCACAGAGCTTATTCAATTCTTACTTGAATCCTAGTGATTAGGAGCACTTGGTACCATGTAGATGTGGCTTCGGCAAGTTACCTCACCTCTCTCTGTCTCATTTATAAAATCAAAATAATACTAATAACTTCCTGAGTTGATTGGAATGATTAAATGAATTAGTTCACATGAAGCTCATAGTACACTGCCCAGCACATGGTAAATAGTCAATAAACATAAACTATAAAATTAATATGTTAATAAGAGTAGTAGTTATCATTGGAGCAAGAACGTTACAAAACAAAACACAACAAAACCCTATCACTAAGTCGGAGTCCATGTCAACGTCCGAGTGAATGTTAAAGGTGAGGAAAATCTTTCTTATCATCTTTTATAAGACGTTTTATTCTCTTGAATAATCAGGAGTACAAGTGCCTGATCCAGGCCTGGAGCTCCAGTTCTTGCAGTGTTGACTTTAGTGATGTGCATGTTAAGACTGCACATGGATCAGAGGTTTGGGTTAGCGATATAATCTAAAAGATGTGCTGTTTTTTCTTTTCTTTTTTAAACTTAAGGAATAGAAATAACCTTGTTTGGCTGAGTTCATCTACAGAGCAGAGAGTAGAAAAGTCCCATATGGAATTTATAAAAGAAGTCATGGAGTAAAAAGGATTTTGAGAATGCTCCAGAGGTTTTTACAGATCCTCCCAGCACGTGGTCCTTATCACTACAACCTGGAGTAGAACCCAGCTGTAAAATAAGAATGCAAAGGAAGGAACTAGATATTAGGGCCCACAAAGAGATTTTACATCCAGAAACAATCAGACTAGTTATCTACTGAATAGAGTCTTTTAGCTGATACTCATAATCGTTCTTGAATTCATTCTTCAACATGTTAGGAAAAACATGACAGAGAGGATGTCAGCTATCTACTTAAGTGTTTTACTAAAGTTTCAATTGCCTTCTTTTATTAATAAATGCGTAGTCATTATCAGGACAATGTCACAAAGAGCTGTCTAGTTGAAACCAGAAATAAAGCTGATGTATTCTAAGATGATGAGATGATTTTCATTTACTCTTTTTTTTATAGAAAACCTTTAATAAATATAAATTCCGAAAGTACGACTTTTGGATTATAGTGGTTCACTTACTCAAATTTAATTTCACCTTGCAGCTGCTGTAGCACTATGCCAAAAGGTATAGCCAAATTCAGTCAATTGGACCCTTTCTTATCAGATTCTTTTTATTTGAAAGTCAGAATTACACAGAGAGAGGAGAGACAGAGAGAGAGAGGTCTTCCATCCGATGGTTCACTCCTCAGATGGCCACAACGGCCAGAGCTGTGCCGATCCGAAGCCTGGAGCCAGGAGCTTCTTCCCGGTCTCCCACATGGGTGCAGGGGCCCAAGGACTTGGGCCATCCTCCACTGCTTTCCCGGGCCATAGCAGAGAGCTGGACAGGAAGTGGAGCATCTGGGTCTCAAACAGGCGCCCATATGGGATGCCTGCGCTTCAGGCCAGGGCGTTAACCCACTGCACCACAGTGCCGGCCCCAGATTTTTTAATTATGGGAATACTTTTCTATGTTCTACTTTAGAGAGATTGTATAAGCAAAACAAGGCCTTTTCTCATTCTTTAGGTTAAAAAACAAGTCAAAGGAAGGCTTCTAGATCATTCTATTCAGATGACCCAACACCGTGTAACCATCACTGGAGTTTGCAACTACAAGATACCAGTTACTGAAGAAAGATTAGGCCATGCTTGGGATCTTTATTTTCCTGGTTTCATTTTGGAAGAAAATGGTAGTATATTTCAACAAAGACAATGAACTAAAAAAGTCAGTTAAGCATTTGTACCCTGTTCTTCCTTGGTATTTTACTTCCCCTTGAATTTTTTCTTGCGTTTGTTGACCCAAACAGATAGTAGGATACACCTGTTTGGGGAACAATAAAAAGAAAATTTAATACCACTCTTCCAATGTTTGTTAATTTGTTTTTATGATAAGATACTTTTTGGCATTTTCAAGAAATAATATCCAAAATGTGAAACAATTACTCAAGTGGGAAAGATACGAGAGGAATATAATTCCTGCCCTGATTTTTTTCACATAATTAAGACCAAATACTTGATTTTAGTGGTAGATGGAGAAATAAATTTTCTCCCTGAAAATAGGATATTATTGTTATTGCTACTTTTAATGGCATGGTGCTGTTATTTTTAGAATATGATGCTAATTTTAGTATAGAGTGCTGTTTTACAATATAATGGCTATGCTCTCTGAATGTAGTAGAAGAGTTAGTAAGTGAAAACTGAATCTTCATGAAGGCAGCATCAATATATAAGATATAGTAGTTTATTGTAAACAAAATTGCTATAGAGACATAATAATTGTGCTGTAAAGTATGGAATAATTTATCTTAAGATTCTTTGAGCCTGGAAAATAATCTATCAAGAAAAGCAGGAGGCCAGAAATATAGAGTGGCATGATTTTATTTTTACTTACACAAAAAGCATCTTTAGATATTATTTTCAAATCATTGGCTAAAATAATGTACAACACTAACTACAGAAAGAAAAACTTAAAAACTATTGTTGAGGAAAGGGAAAAGTATAGGAAAATAATAAACAATGATCAAGATTCACACAGTAGAGCAGAAAAAAATGCTGTATCTCAACAGTATAAAAATGGGAATACAGGGGTGGGTGTTTGGTGCAAAGGTTAAGGTGACACTCGGGATGCTGACCATCGGTCTTGGAGTCCCTGGGTTTGAATCTTTGCTTCACTTGCAATTTCAGCTTCCTGCTAATGTGCACCCTGGAAGGCAGCAGGTGGTGGTGCAAGTGGTTGGGTCCCGGTCATCCACATCCAGGAGCCTTTAACTTGGCCCAGCCCTGGCTTTTATGAGCATTTGGGAGTGAAATCTCTCTCCCTCTCTTTGCTATTGTGACTCTTTAGGAATGAACTTCCAACACAAGAGCTGAACCCCTTAATATCTTAGAAACAAATATGCATGCGTAGATGTGTGTGTACTATTCAGTTTCTCTTTTTCTAAGACTCTGTCTACACAGACACCCTTACCTTTGAGGAAAATGTGTCTTAAATGACTACTAGCCAACACACACATACACACCAAAATAAAAAAAGAGATGTTGGAACTATGGCAAGATGGCAAAGTTCTTTCCAAATCTAGTTAAAATCCCAGAGTATAATTTACCTCTCCCACAAATGGAAAAGTCTGTGCTTTATCTTGTGGTTGTTTCACACAAGGGTATTTACATTTCAAGCCTTTAAATGAGGTGTGTAATCCCTTCAAGAATTTTCTTCTACTCAGATCCTCAGGTTGGAATGAGAGTAAGAGTAGTCTGGAGATTTGCCCATCTGCTTCATCGTGCGACTCTACTCCCAGTGAAGCTCATCAGTGGTCGGCTCTGTCAAGCAGAATATTCCATCCACGTTCAGACTCTGGAGTATCATCCTTGGTAAATGTTTTTAAAAAGCTCTTTAAATATGATATGTTCATAAAAAGGATGCATCTTATATTTAACATTTTAATGTAAATATATTAGCTTCCTAAACCTACCCTTCTGCTTGTCTATGGCAAATGAAAGTTTGATAGCGCAGTCCAAAGAAGAAAAAGAAAGAAATGGAGGTAGAGGAAGGAAGATCACAGAGGAGAAAAAAGAGAAAAGATAATGAATGACCAGGGTATATCTTTGGCCTAGCATTAAGAAACTGGTTAAAATGCTTGTGTCCTACATCAGCGTACCTAGGTTTGATTCTCGGCTGCTCCTCGTGAGTTCAGCTTCTCACTACTGTATTTTTGAATATATGAGTAAAATTAAATTAAGCACACTAGCTTAAAAAATATCTGTTGAACCAACAGATTAATCAATTGGTCCATTAGAATTAAAGGGGGTAACAAACAGAAGTAGATACCAAAATTCATGAATTCCTCAGGAAGAAACCACTATGCTGTACCATATTTATAACCTTACATAGAAATGAAGACATGAAATGGCTCATTTTCCTATAATTTAAGGAATTCCAGAATCAATAACTTCTTTTAGAAACAAACAGGTTATACTTTTGTACAAATTTAGATGTCAGATGAAAAAATGAAAGCTCTCTTCCTAAATACAATTTTACCTTATATATTTTTTCTCTTTTACCAGCACAAGCTTCATAAAATACAATGGGTTGTGGCAGCCCCAGGAAATTTTAACTCTTAAGAAATTTTTATTTGATGAGAGAAGCAAGAAAATAAAACTTCCTAAAGCACATAACATCTTAAAAAGAAAATCTTCCATAAACATGAGAGCTGAACAAACCAAAAAGAGGTCCGGGGCTGTCTTCCTTAATGATCTAAAATTTATGTGTGTTTACGGGTTTTTTAAAGATTAGTTTGAAAGGATGAGTCAATCCCTTGAAATCACATTAGCAGTCTTCAGAATGGCTTAAAGAATTGCTCAAGACTTAATTAAAATTTAGTGTTACTGTTAATAAGATAGAGAAATCTTGTTACCAGTTCTATTTTTTAAATTATTGATATTGGAATATTAACTCAAACAAGATCACTGAATGAGTAAGTAATGAAACTAAAAGGTCAAATTTTATTGAATTATTCTCGAAATATTATTTGAAACTCACTTATTCCCAATTTACTTGGAAGCAGCCTTTTCCAAGTTCTTCACTCCAGAAGGCACTAGTCTTAGGTGTTGCTCCAAGAATAAAAGTTTTCATGGTTTAAAAGTTCAAGGGAACACTTTATGGTATAGACTCACTGGTGTTATTAGTTTATTAAAGTTTCTGAAAAATCCTGTAGTAAAGAGAAATGTTTAACTTGGTTTAATCCTGGGTCTAACTTGGTTAAAGGCAGAAAAAAACCTGTTTGGTTAGTTCCAAATTTACAGTTCAAGCAAACATTAAAGCATACAAGACACTTCCCAGTGAGATAAACACAAGTGTTCCATATACACCAATTGCATTTCTTTAAATATTTTGAGTTCATTTTTTAGAGAGTGTCTGTATGTATGTGTTGGTTAACAGAAGAATAAATCTATGGTGTAATGTGTGTATCTAACATGATATTCTCTTTAGTATCATGACTTCTGTTTGTTTATTTGTGTTAAACGTTGAAACTATCATAAGCTTTATAAAATACTGGAATTTTTACTTAATATATACTGAATTGATCTTCTGTATATAAAGATAATTGAAAATGAATCTTGATGTGAATGGAATGGGAGAGGGAGCGGGAGATGGGAGGGGTGTGAGTGGGAGGGAAATTATGGGGGGGGGAAGCCATTGTAATCCATTAACTGTACTTTGAAAATTCATATTTACTAAATAAAAAATAAATAAAAAATACTGGAATTTTTATCGATCACAACCTCATAATTAGTAATTAGTATAGTAATTAGTAAATAATATAAAAGCGCCACAAATAGGCCCATATTTTGGTCAGTAATATGCTATCTGAAACAAGAAAGATAATCAGATCTGAAGCATTTTATTTAATGCTGGCTATATACTTTAAGGGAAATCTCAGCAGATTAGAACCCTTCCCAAGAAGAACAGGCAGGATGTTTAATGGTCTACAAACCATGATTTGGAAGTAAAATTTGAATGACTTGGGAAGAAGAAAATAGCTGTTATCAAATACTTGTGGAGGGATACTTTTGCAGGGACTCAAAGAGGCATAACTTGTGCATTAAAGTTAGAGGAATTGAATAGTGAAAAGGGTCCATATAATGAGGATCTTAACAGTTAGCATTGTTCTGAAATGGAATGAGATTCCTCATGAGCTATCCAATAAATAAAAAAGGATGACTTCTCAGAGCTGATGTAAAGTAGATTCATGAATGCGTCCATATATTTATTTATGCTGCCATTTACCATCCAACATAAACCAGTTTCAGGTGCTGAGGGACGCTAAGGTGACTAAGAATACATTATTTAGATCGAAACAAACATGGCTTTCAGGAGCATACTATTAGATATTTGGAGTTTAACTTAACCAAATATTTGGGAAGGATTTTTATTAATTTTCACAGAAATAAATAAATTACATGTTGCCAGATGATATTTCTCTTATTATTTTAAAGCTCCCATCAGATTCTTGTAAGTATCTCACTTGGCACAAAATCAAGCAACATGACATTCAAGGAAGTCAACTGCGTTGCCCAAGAGTACGAGAAGGTAAGAGAGCAAATGTGTATATTCTTTGTGTACCTCTCTGGAGTAAAATACAATGCTCTGGAGGTTGGCGCTGTGGCACAGCAGGTTAAAACCCTGGCTTGAAGTGCTAGCATCCCATATGGACACCGGTTCTAGTCCCGGCTGCTCCTCTTCCAATCCAGCTCTCTGCTATGGCCTGAGAAAGCAGTAGAAGATGGCCCAAGTCCTTGGTTGGTTCACTCCTCAAATGGCCACAATATTCAGAACTGGGCGAATCCAGAGCCAGGAGCTTCTTCCAGGTCTCCCACATGGGTTCAGGGGCCCACACACTTGGGCCATCTTCTACTCCTGTCTCAGGCCATAACAGAGAGCTGGATCAGAGGAGGAGCAGCCAGGATACAAATCGGTCCCCATATGGGATGCCGGAGCACAGGAGGAAGCCTAGCCCACTCTACCACAGTGCTGCCCCACCCCCATTTAGTCTTAGTTATAAAGCAATAATACATTTATATGCATGTACATACACATATATGCACTTTAATATATAATTTTATTTCTTGAATTTTTTCACTTAACACATTATGAATATTTCTTTCACTGCATTAAGTGTTATCCAAAACATGAATTTAAAAGTTGCATAGTTTTCCATCATATGGATATTATTAAATGTATTTAAACAATGATCCTTATTGGAAGTTTAGTTTATTTATGATCTTTCACAGATGCAAGTAACACTATCACTATACCCGATGATTTTAAGTTGATTTAATCTTATATTTGTTTTTTTAAAAGCATCAGAAGACTTTCTAAATGTATTATTCAGGGTTCTCCAGAGAGGGACCAATAAGATAAAACACAAATATAAGATTTTATTATGAGAATTGACTCCCTTGACTATGGAGACCATGAGGTCCTGTGGCAAGCCGACTGCAATCTGGAGAAACAGGGAAGGGAAACCAGGGTGTCACTGAGCCTCAGTGTAAAGGTCTGAAGAGCGGGGGGTGGGGGGGGTGGGGGGGTGATAGTCTGAGGCTGAAGAACTGTGATCCTGGAGTTCTGATGTCTGGGGGAAGGAGAAGACTGACGTCCCAGTTCTAAGAGAATGAATTCACCGTCCCTCCACATTTTTGTCCTATCTGGGCCCCTATGGATTGGATGGCACCCACTGACACTGGTCAGGGCAATATTTAAACAGCCTGCTGATTCAAATTCTAACCTCTCCTAGAAGCACCCTTACAATTGCGATGGCTAATGTGAGGTGTCAACTTGACTGGATTAAGGGGTACCTAGATTGCTGGTAAAGCACTATTTCTGGGTACATCTGTGAGTGTGTTTCTGGAAAGGGTTGGCATTGGAATAAGTGAAACAAGTAAGGAAGATCTGCCTTCCCTCAATATAGGTGTGTGCCATTCACCATCAATTGACTGAGGACAAAAGTAGAACGAAAAAAGCAGAGAACAAAGGGAATTTACTCTCTCTTTTAGAGCTGGAACATCCATCTTCTCCCACCCTTGGACATCATAAATCTGGGTTCTCCAGTTTTAAGCTCCAGGCCTTACACTGTCAACTCCCTTCATTGTCAGGCCCTCAGACTTGGAATGAATTATACCACTCACTGGCTTTCCTGGTTCTCCAGCTTGCAGATAGCATGCTGTGGGATTCTCAGCCTCCATAACTGTATGATCTAATTCCTATAATAAATCTCCTTTAGTATCTGTCTATCTGTCTATCTATCTATATCTGTCTATATCTATATCAATCTATCTACCTATCATCTACCTTTCTATCACCTATCTAACATATACATCTATCTCTTGTATTCTATTTCTGTGGAGAAATCTAATACACAGCTTGCCCAGGAATAATGTTTGACTTACTATCTGATAATACCTTTAATCGGTCAAGTTGATATGTAAAATTAAACTGGATACATAAAATTAAACTGGATTGTATCATTTTGTGTTTTCACACGGCATTTTGCATTTGGTGTACTAGCTATGTTTCATTATTCCTTTACGTCTCACCAGATTTCACAAGTGTACAAATAGGGAAACAAAGCATTGCTGTCTGCAGTCAGTGATACACATGATGCTTGAATTCAATAAGTGATTTACAATATGTTATATAAATTATTTGAGGACAAGGACTGTGCATTTCTCATGTCTTTGTATCCCCTACATCAGTTAAGTAATATTAGGTATGTTCCTGCTTTAGTGAATGTTTGGTGTGAATAAAACATCTCATATTTTTTGTTACTCTCCTATCTGTATTTACTACCTTGCAGTAATACCGTATATTGTACTATTGTGTTATGGATTTTAAAAAAGTGGCTTTAGATATATTCATCTGCCGATATGCCCCTCTCAATGGCATTACTTTACCCACATAATATCTATCACTTTTCATTTAAATTCAGTTGACAAAGGGAGACAGAAATAGCGTCATTTTCTTTAACTTTGACTGAACTTTCTTCTTATGCTTTAACTCTGTCAATACGATCTGCAGCTAAGCATCGATTCCTATTTTCAAAATGTAAGTAGACAGTTTTACCAGGAAGAAATTAGAATTGTCCTTTTGGGATCTCAGAATCTTTTGTCCAAAAGCAAGAAGTAGTGTGGAGTTAGCGGGGGAAAGGAGACTAGAGGAAGTAGAGGCCAAGGGCGTCACATGTGTAAGGAGCTCTACAGCAAAAGGAGGAGGGGGCTCCATCAGGAGCTAATGTGGACAGGTTCTTAATGTTAGTGTGTGAGCAAATCACTGTCAGGCATGCAAAAAATGCAGATTCACTGGCCCTGTTGCCAAATGAGCTGATGTAGTCAGAGTGAGATGGGGCCCCAAAATCTGCATTCATAAAAGTTATTTCAGCCGGCGCTGTGGCTCAATAGGCTAATCCTCCGCCTTGCAGCGCCAGCACACCGGGTTCTAGTCCCGGTCGGGGCGCCGGATTCTGTCCCGGTTGCTCCTCTTCCAGGCCAGCTCTCTGCTGTGGCCAGGGAGTGCAGTGGAGGATGGCCCAAGTGCTTGGGCCCTGCACCCCATGGGAGACCAGGAGAAGTACCTGGCTCCTGCCATCGGATCAGCGCGGTGCGCTGGCCGCTGCGTGCCAGCCGCGGCGGCCATTGGAGGGTGAACCAGCAGCAAAGGAAGACCTCTCTCTCTGTCTCTCTCTCTCACTGTCCACTCTGCCTGTCAAAAAAAAAAAAAAAAGTTATTGCAAGAAATTCTGTTGAAAATTATCTGAAGTCCATACTATAAGAAATATGTTTTACTAGGCATGAGGAGAGGAAGGGAAGGAAAACATTTAATTAGAAAGTGAAAATATTGCTTAAATAAGGATACTGGCATGGGGCAGCAGGGAGGCAGAAGATGATGACTGTGGCAGCCATCATGAGGCAAAAAGAGATTGTATTCTGAGCCCAGGTGAAGGGTTGAGGTTTAGAAAGAACTGCAGAAATTTGAGGGGATGACGACAGAATAAAATGTGAGAGTAAAACAAAAGTGAGCACATGCGAAAAGGGCCCAGAGGTCTCCCTCCCTCCGTGAGGCCGTGCGCTGAGGTCTTCACTCAGCAAAACCAATCCCACATAACGAGCATAGCGGCCACTCATGCAAAGGACCTCATTGCTCTGCAGAGATAAAGGCACATTTTCCTTCCATAGATCTTTAACAACACCCAATCTCTCGTAAGTGACTCGTCATAAAAAGAACAGAGCACGATCCAGGGCATGGAAACCATTGGAAAAATCCCATCACTGCAAGCCATAGAGAAAACTTGATGTCCCTTCTTCATTGCTCTTAATTTTGTTTAAGCTTGTTTTGTGAGATGGAGAACAAGTGCTTTTCAAAAGCATTCTGCTCCGAATTACCCTCTTTCTAGATTAGAGCCTGAAAACACCCACCACAACTGCTTCGGTTGATCTCAATTGGCCCCTTGTGCATCCATGAAGAGTTTGTTAGAAAAGAAAGGCTATCTGGTGTGTGATAAACAGCAGTTTCCCAAGGCTTTGATTGCCAGATCAAGATTGACTCAACTTTGCCCAATTAAAGGAAGCAAAAGAGCACATTGTTGGCAGAATCCTTTTAAAGAACAGATTCTTTCGGGTTTCAAATCCCCCAGCAAGTTAATTCAGGGACTGCTGTTAGAGTTACAAATCCAGTGAGAGGACAAAGAACTAGCTCAGAGGTAGCAGGTGAAAGTTAACGTCCCTGGGCTGTCAGATAGTCCAGACTGTGGTTCTCAGCTGCTAAGATATATCCTCAATTACCAACCAGGTCACAGTAAAAAAGGAATCCAATTTAATACTACTCCTCACAGTGGAAATGACCTTTGGCCTCCAACTTCAAAGAAATCTATGAAAGCTGTGGTAAAAAGAAATAATTAAAAGAGTAGAGGATCAATAGCACTCAAATAAACAATAAAGGGCAGAGTTTAATAACTCTGGGGAATCTAGTGCACAGAGGACGATACCAGATTTGGTAGGGTGACGGAGGAGGGGACAGTGTTAAAGACAATGCGATCTGAAATTCTCCCTGTCAATTAAGTGATTGTTCCAGTTTTCCACTTCTGTGATTTTACCTCCAATCAACCTCATCAATGAAGGAGAACATTTCCTGACCCGAGGATATTTTTTTCTTTTGACGTTCAAGGGCAAAGGTTTCTTGGACAGCAATAGAATAGTTCATCACGAGGAAAATGCTTGAAAAAACAGATGGTAGCTTGACCTCTACTTGCACTGGGTATAAGAGTTGCTGTTTATGTCAAAATAAGGAAATGTTGGACTCTTTTTCTTATTGTCTTCCATCAGTCTTTCATCACTGGACTCACTGTTTCTCAGCACAGTCCTGACAAACATGCCAGAAAAACAAAGTTTGTTTTTGATACATTCATTGTCCTGTTTCTCTGTTCTTTAACCTTTGAAATGAGAGGAATCAAGCATTGTAGAAACACAAAATTGGGGAAGCGTGTACAGTGTCACAAGGCATGTCACAGAAATACAGTATGTGAGAGGTGGGGGCATTGAAATAATTTAATGCAGAATTGCATTCAGGGGCCTGGCTGATGTCACAGGACAATAAAGTTTGCTTGAGGAAGCACAATAGAGAATAAGGGCCCGTGGCAATAAGGAAGCATATATTGGTCTAGAAGTATTAGAAATTAGTATTTTTATGAAGCACTGGGGCCAACCAAACATGTTTTCTCACAAAATTCAGCTCATGGTGAGCCTTTGCTTCAAGTCTTCCCCATATTTTTGCAGACATGGAACACTGATGCTCAGAAAATTAAAATTAGTTATTGAGAGTCACAAAATTCCCTCTCTACAACTCAGACTGGAAACAGGACATCTTTCCCCTAACTCTGGAAGTGTTATACCATATTTAGAGAATGATGAGGTTGGAAGATAGTGGGAAATGAATTTGGAAATGGAAATTTGGATAACACTGTGGACAACCTTTCTTAACAAGCTAGGATTTGTAGGCAATAAGAACTCTCCCAAATGCTTTGAGCATGTGAGTGCTGTGGTAGGAGCTGTGTTTGGGAAGGATTAATGGTAACTTGTGTCATTTACATTGGAGGAGAGAAGCAAGCAAGAAGATCCCAGAGAAAGCAGTCACAACTCGGCAGGCAGACATGAGGATTTTGATGCTGAACAGGAAGGGAGAGGTTCCCTAAGTGAAAATCTCAAGGATGAGGGGCTGATGCAACTGAGACACAAAAGAGAGAGAAGCTCAGGAGCGACTTCTGAAACCCCTGAAAGGAAATTCTGTGAAGATTCGAGTCACTACCATATTGACAATTTTATTTTCTATTTATTTGTTTGAAAGACAGAATAAAGGGGAGGGAGGGAAGGAGAAAGAGATCTTCCATCCTCTGGTTCACTCCCCCAAGTGACCACAGCAGCCAGGTTTGGGCCAGGCTGCAACCAGAGCCTGGAACTCCACCAGGGCCTCCCACGTGGTGGCAATGGCCCAGACCCTTGGGCCATCCTCTGCTGTCTCCTGGGATGCATTAGTGGGAAGTTGAATGGGAAGTGCAATAGCTGAGACTGGAACAAGCATTCCAATACAGAATGCAGATGTCTCAAGTGGTGGCTTAACCCGCTGTGCCGAGATACCTGCCCCTGTTGTTATTTTTCTTATTTGGGCTAGAAATAATTCCCCATATGATTAAAAGTCAATTCTATTTGTTAGCTTTTTTCCTTCTGTTAACAGAAGTAACTCCACTTTTCTTTTAATAGTTCTAGAAACATCATCAAATTATAATTTCTCTGAATCTCAGAGTATGCATAGAATTGAAGTTGGCTTAATTAAAACTATATATTTTAACTATCACATTTTTCCTATTAGTGGTCTTAAAGGACTTAGAAAGAAATCTAGAGGACTTCAAAAAATTCATGAAAAATTGAATTAAAAGATGTTTATTTGGGGGCAGTAATGTGGCATGGTGGGTTAAGCCACCGAATACAATGCCAGCACCCCATATAGGCACCAGTTCAAGTCCTGGCTGCTCCACTTCCAATCCAGCTCTCTACTAATGTGCCTGGGAAAGCAAAGGATATGGCCTAAGTGCTTGAGACCCTGCACTCACATAAGAGATTGAGAGGCAGCTCTAGGCTCCTGGGCCAGCCCCAGCCATTAAGGCCACTTGGGGAGTGAACCAGAGGATGGAAGATCTCTCTAGTTCTCCAGCTCTCTCTCTAACTCTGCCCTTCAAATAAATAAACCCTTTTCAAAAACAAGTTTGTTTTGATGCAAAAAATATTTGAAAGCTGTGCATATAAGGAACCTTCAAAAATTTTATGGAAAGTGTGCATTATGAAAAAATTATGCACAGATTTCAAAAATGTTTTGTAACAAAATAAATTTATCTTTTAATCCCATTTTTTCACAGATGTTTGAAGTACCCCCATACAAGTGGAAATTTAAGTTGAAGTCCTTCTCAATCATAGAAACTTAGATAAATGCATAGCATAACTATGAATGATTTAAATCCAGTTAGTCTGCAACCTTAATTTTTTCCCTGATAATTGTATTTGTTTTCTTGTTAATTAAAAAATAATAAAGGAAAAAAAAGTGAAGTTGCTAAGTTGTTGGCTATTTTCTCTTGTGTAACTCATAATGAGAAAGCTCACCACTAAGTTCAAGAGACACAGCACAGGCTCCAGCAGCAAAGGGTGAGACAGGAAAAGAGGGGTTTAAATATTTAATAGACCTCTCCTGTTTAATTTATCATCAACACACCTGTGGGTCTGACCCAGGGTTTTCAAATCAAAGGTGCAGTTTCCCCTTTGTATCCATGGCTTTCATATCTATGGGTTCAACCAACAGTGAGTACAGAAGTCACAGATGCAGGTATGGGTGTGTGGCAGCTGTATTCCATTTAGAAGGTATAAGAGGAAGGTTGACCTTTGGCAAGTTTCAAGAAAAGTCATTCTCACAATTAGAATGTGCTGAAGTCTCAGAGCTTCCCTGTCCCTCCCTCTCCCCCTCCCCCTCCCTAGTCAGGTTGGGCAGAGGGGGTGGATGAAATCTCATTTTGCTATTGCTCCCACTCTATGGTATAAAAGGGGTCAAATCATGTTTTCCTTAATCCTGATACCATGTGAAAGCTTTGAACTGATCTAATTGCACGGGAAGATGTGATCCTGTCCTCCTGTCCCCCAAACCTGCTTCCAAGGTCTCACCTGTGCTTCTGGCCTAGGACCTGCTGAAGACGACGTCTCCTTCACACGGATGGGCTGTGCCTTGACACCAGTAAAAAGAGTCCTTGGAAAAAACAAATGGGAGAAGTGGCTCCAAGAAAACTGGGAGGACTGCACGGTGAGAGCTTAAAAACAGGAAGCCTACATTCTCCACTGGTTAACTTACAGCATCTTTTTATACCAGGCAGTCCTCAGCGTGAATGCTGACATGTTCAGCATCTCTCAGAGCTTTCCCTAAAACCTGTGGGGTTTGGGCTGCTCCATCCTCCAACCCCCTTCATCAGGATGTACTACTTATGTTTTCTTTTTCTTCACCTTATTCACTTATTAATTTGAATGTCAAAGTGATATAGAGAGAAAGGATATGGGGAGAGAAAATCTTCCATCTGCTGGTTTATTCCCTAAACAGCCACAACAGTCAGGGCTGGTCTAGGCTGAAGCCAGGAGACATGAACTCTGTCCTGGACTCCCACATGGGTAGCAGGGGTCCAAGTACTTGGACATCCTCTGCTACCTTCCCAGGCACATTAGCAGGAAGCTGGATTGGAAATGGAGCAGCTGGGACTTCAACCAGAACTTCTATATGGGATGCAGGAATCTCAAGTGGTGGCTTAACCCTCAGCAATGCAATGCCAGCCCCTATATTTTCTGACTCTCTTTTGTCTTGAAATTGCTGAACTTTGCAAAAACTTTAAATATTTCAGAATGAAATTACTCATTTTGATTGTTTTTTTTTTGTTTTTGTTTTTTTTTTGTTTGTTTTTTAAGATTCATTTACTTATTTGAGAGGCAGAGTTACAGAGAGAGGGAGACAGAGAGAGGTCTTCCACCCACTGGATCACTCCCCAAGATGACTGCAATGGCCGGAGTGGGCCGATCTGAAGCCAGGAGCCAGGAGCTTCTTCTGGGTCTCCCATGTGGGTGCAGAGGCCCAGGCACTCAAGCCATCTTCCACTGCTTTCCCCGGTCATAGCAGAGAGCTGATGCAGAAGAGGAACAGCCGGGGTACAGGATACTTAGCCTATTACGCCACAGCACCAACCCCATTTTGATAGTTTTAAAATGTCAAGATTTGGACAACAGTCTATATCAATGAGTTTCTGATGCAGTCTGGAGCTCAGGGCAAAAGTTCTCTACAGCAACGGCAACCAGCCAGGTCTGACTGGAAGTATCCTGGAACAAATCAAAATTTTCACCACGGAATGATACAAGCTGTGGTCTTAGTGCTGAAAAGCTTATCCCTGCCAAAACCGCAAGCCTTGAAACAGCCCTGCAGTCAATCATGCTGACCGCTTCAGAGGCACAGGGCCGCCCTGGCTCAGGCTTCTAACTCCAGTTGGACCAAGCTGTGCTGAGGCAGAGGACTGGGGATTTAACTGAAGAGGAATGCTGGTAGCAGTCAAATAGTAAATCAACTTTGCAGCCGAGTGGTACGCCAATGTTTTTGTTTTTCAAAGTGATCAAACTGTACTGGAAAATTGTAAGAAGTCTTCAAGAAATGAAATTGGGTCTAAAAGCTCTTTGTTAGCATTTCCTGATGCCTCCCTTGCTTCACACGATGATCTTGTAGGTCATAGATTCATAAAATTAGGGAAGGGAAAGCGCTTCAGAGAGAATGTGGTCAAAATTCATTCCTTTCCAAAGATAAGGAAGTTAAGAAAGAGGTATAATTTGCCCAAAGTTACACAGCCTCTTAGTAGAAGATATGAACATAGAAGAGAGTTCTAGTATGGTGTTCTCTTTCCTTTTAAAATTCACTTTAATTTATTCATACATAATGAATTAATAATTTCACTCTTAAAAAGTATACATTATACCTACTTATTTATTTTCAAAATTTAAGTAGTATATCTATTTTAAAAATTAAATCAATGCACCAAAGGCATTGACCTCCATTCCCAGGATATTCTTTATAGGCAATCATTTTAGTGTGTATATGCATTCAATCTTTATGCCTGCAATTTAAACCATGAGTATACTATAAGACCAAGTGGAGCCTTGCAAATAAACTATCACAGAAAACCTAATTAACCTTTCAATATCTATACTGTAAGAATACTGCAGAGAAAACTTAATTGGAAAATAATGATAAGTAAAAAATAAACTTTTCTGAGGTAACATTTAATATATAGACAATGGATGTAATCTTTTATCATTTCTTAAGTTTAATCCTCAAATGAACACCTTTTTTTTTGAAAAATGACACTCTTTGCACCAAGTATTATAATATATATCTAAAAATGTCAAGATCCTAACAATTTTTCTAAAGATAGAGATGTTTTAAGAATGACAAATTACTTTACTTGAAAGTTTTTAAAAGGGAATTGTTATTCAATTCACTAATTTTTCTTGACACAAATTAATGGTAAAATGTGAAAGTGAAGAAGCCATGTTGATATTTCTTGAAGTACAAATACATTCAAACCAGAAATAACAAAACAAACTCACATATAATTTATGTACACTAGAGTACCTCAAAAAGTTCATGGAAAGCAAATTTAAAGGGTCAGTTTGGGGCCGGCACCATGGCACAGTAGGTTAATCCTCCATCTGCGGTGCCAACATCCCATATGGGCACCAGTTCTAGTCCCGACTGTTCCACTTCCAATCCAGCTCTCTGCTGGGAAAGCAGTAAGAAGATAGCCCAAGTCCTTCATTCCCTGCACCTGCATGGGAGACTTGGAAGAAGCTCCTGGCTCCTGGCTTCAGATCAGTGCAGTTCCGGCCATTGCGGCCATTTGGGGAGTGAACCAATGGAAGGAAGACCTTCTCTCTGTCTCTCCCTTTCATTGTCTGTAACTAACTCTCAAATAAAATAAATAAAATCTTTTTTAAAAAAGGGTAAGTTTATTTTAATGGAAACATTTTTTGAAATTTATGCAGAGAGAGATTTTAAAAAGTTCAAAGGGGCTGGCGTTGTGGCATAGCCGCTGCCTGCAATGACTGCATCCCATACGGGCACCAGTTCAAGTCCCAGGTATGCCATTTCTGATTCTGCTCCCTGCTAATGCACCTGGGAAAGCAGTGGAAGATGGGCCAAGTGCTTGAGCCCCTGCACCCACGTGAGAGACCCAGAAGAATCTCCTGGTTCTTGGCTTCAAATAGGCTCAGCTCTAGCCTTTGAGGCCATTTAGGGAGTGAACAAGCGGATAAAGGACCTCTGTCTCTGTCTCTCCCTTCCTCTCTCTCTCTCTCTCTCTTTTTCTCTTTCTCTCTGTGTGTGTGTGTGTCTGCCTCTCTCTTTGTGATTCTTTCAAATAAATAAATATTTTTAAAGTTCATGGAAAATTCTTGCTATGTATATTTTCAAAATGTTGCACAATTTCATCTTTTAATTCTGTTTTCCATGAATTTTTTGAAGCCTCCCCTTAGAGATTACAAGAGCAATGCTTCTATTCAGAGTAGTTTTAATTTCCATTATATCCACGTGCACTGATGTTAACAGTAAAAATAAAAAATCCACTATCTTTGAAACATTCCAGGTCATTTTTTGGCATGTATCCCTATTTTACTTAAAATAAAATCATAGTTTTCATTTCTTGAATAATGTTATTATACTCTGAAATTCTTTTCTTTATAAATGTGATTTCTGACTATAAAAAAATCACATTTTTTATAAATGTGATTTTCTCAAGTGAGGTTAATGATAACTCATCATTTAAATGAGTAATTCTGAAACAGAAGTTTTTCCACTTGCTGCAATGTAATGGTCATGTTTGCATGTATTTGCATTAAAATTATGTTTGCATGAATAATAAGGCATGAAGACTCTGGTTGAAATGATGCATACAGCAATTCTCAATTAGTAACTGCTTTCAAAAGTTGACTAAGAACTTACATTTTTTCCCCCTCTTATTTGTTTTTCCTTTAGAACTTGAACATTTCATTTCAGGATTTGGGGGATGCTTACCAAGTTGAAAATTTTAACAGGATTCTTAGAAGACTTATTAGAGTTGAAACCCTATGGTTAGTGGATAATTCACTGGTGGATTTAAGTGCCATACGATTGCCAAGGTACCTGATCCCTAGCATGTCTACTTACTATGTTACAGTTAAATCCTTTGCCATTTAGAAATTTGTGACCATTGTTTATACATATCGTGCCTCCCTTTTGGAGGTCAAGTCTTTAATGTGGTACTTTGTGCTAAAACACATATGATAAGGCAAAAAGAAAGTTATATGTCAAAACACTATATTTTAGTGAGAAAAATTCTTTTCCAAATTTTATTTTTAAAATTCTATTTACATTTTATACTTACACATTTTATGGAGTACCCAGCAGTATTTCCACATAAACCAATCAAATAAGGTAATTAGCAAATATTACCGATTGTTAGGAAAATAATTTATAATCATGGAAATATATGAACAGCAAAGCTTGCCATTTTATTTGTGTTATAAACCACAAAATACAATCCCATATTTATAATAGTTGTAAAGTAGCAATTTTTAGTCCTATTGATGAAACACCTACAGAAAAGATTTGACAAGATTGTAGATAAGACTCAGCTTCAGGGTTACGTTCTAACTTGGGAGTGGAAGTTAGTGATCAGATTAGTGGCAAAAACAAACTAAAGATGTTTAAAAGTATTGTGGATCCCTTAGTCTCCCAAGGATCCCCAGCTCTAGCATTGAAGCTTTTCCGCCCATTTGCTCAGGATTGCCTGAGAATCTATATACAGAAAATACTATCTGCTTCACCAGCAGAACGGATAGATGGGGTGACCAATGACAGGGTCAGACAGTGGTTTTCCAAGAATGAATTAGAAGATGAAGAAAACTGAGCATCCAAAAAATGAAGGTGAAGATCTGTTGCTCCCCGTCTTCGTGGAGGAACGACACAGGACCCTGCGCTGTTCTTTCTGTCTGCTCGGCCCTTCCCGGGTTTGCTGCTGGTTCTTCCCGGGTTGGCTACCGTCCCTTCCACCTCCGTGGAAGGGCGGTTCCCCCTACCACTTTCCCCACTTCCGCGGGGGAGCGGCACACCGCCGGCCGGCTCTCTCGGGGGCTGCTCAGGTGTTCCCCTTAGATGTTCCCCTTAGATGTTCCTGGTGCATGTCGTCTCTCTCCTCCTTTATAGTCCTCCTCCACCAATCCCAACTCTGCTACCCACACGCCGAGTACGCTGCTCTCCTCCACTCAGGAGCAGGATCAGCTCCTGCAGGTCATCGCTCAAGCTGGCGAGAGGCAGCTGCGTAGAAGTTGTTTTCTCCTCTCCCAGCGCCATATTGTGGGAGAGCAGATGCATAGAATAAGTCTTAATTCCAGTAACTTAGTCTACTCCGAGTTGCTCCCAGTTGCTCCCCACAAAGATCCATCTCTGAGCCCAGGCTGAGACGAGGTTGCAGAGGAGAGCATTATGGCTGCAGGCTAGAGGGGAGGAGGGGTGGGCACAGCAGTTCCAGGATGGGCAATGCACCGGCATCCACACCTTCAGTCCTTTTCAAAGCCCCTTGGTAACTTAACATACATTTACTTAGCGTTTGAATTTAATTCTTCTCTTTTTAAGTAGCTAATTTTTTTAAATTTATTTATTTATTTTTGACAGGCAGAGTTAGACAGTGAGAGAGAGAGAGACAGAGAGAAAGGTCTTCCTTTTTCCGTTGGTTCACCCCCCAAGTGGCCGCTACGGCCGGCACACTGCAGCTGGCAGACCTCGATGATCCGAAGCCAGGAGCCAGGTGCTTCTCCTGGTCTCCCATGCAGGTGCAGGGCCTAAGGACCTGGGCCATCCTCCACTGCACTCCCGGGCCACAGCAGAGAGCCAGACTGAAAGAGGAGCAACCAGGACAGAATCCGGCGCCCTGACCGGGACTAGAACCCGGAGTACCAGCGCCACAGGTGGATGATTAGCCTTGTGAGGCGTAGCGCTGGCCAGAATTTGAATTTTTACAGCTGCCAAATCAGTGTATAGAAAAATTGGTGCCAGTATATTTATATCTTTTCTCTCGCTCTTGCAAAGAAAGTCATGTCACTGGGTTCAGCATCGTGGCACCGCTTGTGACACATCCCATATCAGAGTGCCAGGACAATCCAGCCCCCTATTAATGTGCCTGGGAAGTAGCAAAGTATGGTCCAAGTAGTTGGGTCCCTGCCGACCACATGGGAGACCCAGATGGAGTTCATGAACCCCTGGCTCCAGCCTGGCCCAGCCTTGGCCATTACAATCATTTGGGGAATTAATCAGCAGATAGAACATACCCTGCCTCTCTCTCTTTCTCGCTCTCTTTCTTTCTCTCTCTCTCTCTCTCTCTCTTTCTTTCTCTCCCTTGATTCTCCCTCTCAAATAAATAAACGCATTTTAAAAGATAAAGAAAGTCATGTCACTGTGTACTGGATCTTCCACTTCTTCCCCCTCATATATCCTACTGAGTGGGAAATTTGTGTTGGGCTGAATCGGAGAGACTGAGAGGATGGCAGGGCGCACACTGTATGACTGTAAACAAGATAGGATTTCAGAGGAGACTAGAGAGCAAGGCAGAGGGGCAGGGACGGCTTGGAGGGAGGGGTTTCAATTAGAAATTGGCATAGACCTAAAGTGTTTCTAGCAATGACATGTAATCTGGAACAGGGCACAGGTCAAAAGCTGTTGAAGATGTGATAATGATCACAGACAATACCAGTGGGAGAGGGACCAAAAGGAAGCAAGGAAAATGAAAATAAAAGACATGGCAAAATTACAATGAAATCCAGGTGAATTCATTGTTCTAATGTTGCAGTTGTCTCTGGCCAGCACCATCTTTACCCTTAGCAATTGTTATTTCCACGTTTCTGTGTGGACCCAAGGCCCATGAATAAGTACCCTCTGTTTCTCATGCTGTACTGAATTCCAGACTATACACAGAGGAATTTTTCCTTAAGGCAAGTTGTCAGTGATAGATTTTGAATTATTTTCTCTATCCTCACAGTCTTGTAGAATTATAGTTTTTAGGCAAAAATGCTGGGGATCATTACGTAACAGAAAAGTGTATTCAACTTAAATGCCTAACACACTGTCCTTCTCCTAGGGGTTCATTTTGGTTTTCTTTTAGATAAAAAGGCACTTTGTGATTGAAAAGCTGTTTCCTCAATATGAAATATTTTGAGTACAGAAAAGTATAAAGAAAAATAACTATAATCTCACTACTTACCAGCAATATTTTTTAAAGTTACTGTGTTTGAGTGTGTTCTCTTATGTTGCTGAGATTAGGTATAATTATTCACTTTTTTTTTTTCAGGACCAGTAAGTCTTGATCTATTCATTGCATTTTCTCAGGGAAAGGAGAAAGGATGGGGAGAGTCAGCATAGTTGTTACAAAGCAATTAGAAAATGAGAAAGGAAGTACCCAGTACAGCAAAAACCAACCTTCAAAGAAACACACCCCAGTGACAGGGTCACCAAAGCCCAAGGGGACTTAGTCTCCTGCAGTCAGGACTGAAGGGAAGGAGGCGGTGAAAGAGCAGACGCAAGCTTTCTTGCCCTTCCTCTGTCCCCATAAATTCAAGATTTCCCACGCAGTTTTGGTTGCTAGCAGTAAACATGGAGTTACATTCATTTGGTCCTATCAAACAATCTTGTGGCCACTTTGATGTAAGTTCCTTGCACCTGCATAAAAGTTATTGAGTGACTTGGATGTACATCCATAGTCCCTTTCTTGGTCTTCAAACCCCACTTTCTACACAGAAGGTCCGTAGTAGCTTCACTTCTTTAGAAGACAAGTGGAGTAGGTTTTAGCCCTCAAAATACATCAGTGTCTTGTTTTTGGCATGAATCATACCAAGAAATGGTCTTGATCCCAGAAGATTGGGAACAAGGGATGCAGGTTTCCTATTTTCTTTAGGGTTTTCACATGAATCCTTTAGATTTGTGGAGACTCCCCAAGAATTAAGCGTTTTGTTGTTTTTATTACACTGGGGAGCAACTATTTGGCGTGCATAGCCTATTGAACTACCTCATTTTGCCAAGAAGAGCTGGGGTTTTTGCCATAGTATCCTTTTGAAATTCCCTTCACCTTGAACGTGTTTCAAGTCCCCATGACTTGATCTCTTCCTGCTGGAAGACTGAAAATTAGTCTAAACAGGAAAAGGTGGTGCAGGGAAGAGAGGCTGAGCCAGGTGAAAGGCCCAGAGAGGAAGCCTTGCTTAGGGTTGCCCTTCCCTCTCCCCATTCACAAAAGGAAACCTACACAACCACACATAAATATCTAATTGTTGGGATATCTCAACTACTCACTTTTCATTCAGGACATGTGGAAAATCTACCACAGGCCAAATATTGTGCTAGGTCCTGAGTATATATCTTAGAAAACAAATTTCTGTGCTCATTGAGGTTTTAGTCTCATGTCTCTTGCTTATTTTCTCTTAATGTTTAATACAAAACTCTCTCTCTCTCTCTCTCTCTCTCTCTCACACACACACACACACACATGTTCATGTGTGTAGAAGATGCCACTGTCATTCTCTTGAAGGATTGTGGTCTAGAGGAGACAAACTAGCCCTCTGTGAAGTCTGCTTGTTGAGCATCTTCTTAGGAGTTAAGCACCATGATGTTTATATTCTGTGTCCAGCTGCAGAATTTTAAATATGAACAAAAACCATCTCACATCTTTCAAACAATTGCCAAAGATACCTCAGATACAACATTTATCCTTGGCTGAAAACCACATTGAGACCCTGACTGGACTCTCGAGTTTACAGTGCACTCCATTAGAATCCCTTACTCTCAAGAGGAACCCTTGTGAGTTTCACCAAAATTACAGGAAACGGTAAGCCCCAAATGCCTCAAGTCATCTTTTGCACATCACTGAATATTGTGTTTTAAGTATATTTTGCAATGCAGCTACCCTCTTGCTTTAATTCATTCAGTAAATATTTATTATTTCTGCTATGTGGACACTTCCTACTTTCAAACTTAACTACAGAACTTTTAACAGGCCTTGTCTTTTTTTTCCTTGTTAGCATATTCTTCTTTTGGTAAATTTATAATCACTGAAAAGATGTTAGGCTCTTCCTGTAATGTGACTTTATGTATACAAACTGATTTCATTTTAAGACTTTCAAATTTTGTACATTTTATCTCATAGGCTTAATAGATATTATGTCTCATAATTTTTTAAATAATAGATTCCTACCAACTTCTATGAGACAATATTATAAACAGTTTGTTCTCTGGTTTTATTTTCACTCCTTTGAGCCACAGGAGCATCATTAAGTGAATACAAAGAAGTAATTGATTCTGTCTACTCCAGTGGTTGAAAGAGTTCAAAAACCTGCCAAGAAGACACCATTTGTATTACTTTATCCCTATAGGGGGCATTCCTAATGGTTGTAATAGACTCTACAGAGCCTTGGCGTGTGTACCAAGCAATATGCTCATCCATTTATCTGAAGCTATGTCCAGCACCTCTATTAGTATACTCAGGGAAACTAAAAGGATTAAAAACAGAATTCTAGCACCTGTATTTGCCCCCATGTAACTGTGAATCATCTCACTCTCAAGTCCACTATACAAAGGGTTAGATCATTTCCAGAGTCTATTCCTACTCTGTTATTATAATCCTTCATCTACATCCAATTTCAATAAAAGGCATATTTCTAAATGTCTTCCATTCTCACACAACCATTTCCCATGACAGCAACTATATTCCAGAGGTTTAATATAATGTTAGATACTCTGACTCCTGATGTACAATGAAAAATTGTCAAAATAAAAATTCTAATCTCTATTGTTATTACATAAATCTCATTACTGCAGTTGTCTCCCCAATGACTATAGTTTGGAAGCAAAACTTTGTGATAATAAATTCTCAAATTGTTTTTACATAACAGTGAATACTAGCAGCAGAGTTGGTTTAATATTGAACTAATATTGAACCTTAATAATGTTTTGAAGTTTCAAATTACATTTCCTGTAGTCAGAGGAGGTTCAGCTGGACATTTCAACATCATTCAAAAGAAAGCACATTCCTAGTCATAAGGATAATTTAATAGTACTAAATTTTGGTTGTGTTAATTTATATGTGGGATTTTGTAAGACGTTTCGGTCCCAATTCTGTCACTTGCCTCCCTTCAAGAATGTCTTACAACAATTGTATTAAGATTAATTGTCTGGAATCTGATATGCCCTGAGGTCTCACTATAACTCCGTCTTCAAAATTTATGATGTGGTATAGAGTTGTGTGGGAATGAGGGATATAATGAGGTTCTTCTATTTTTCCAGTAGTAACTCCAAATTGGATTGGATCCAAGGGGAAAATAATGACTTTCAAGTTATAAAAAGCCAGGCTATGTTGACTTAGGTAGAGCACAGTTGCTTTCAACAGAAAGATGTGGTCATTTAAACTTCGAATCATGCTGAGCAAATAAGCTGAAGTCTGAAGTTCACCCACATTAGGTTTCAGTTACCCAGCACAAGATCCCTACTTCGAAGACTTAAAGTTTGTATTTTGTCGCTGGATATTTGTGTTGAGGACTTGGGCAAGACTTACACTGACCCTTTACATCATGCTCAGAATTATGTTAAATAGAAGCTTCCCTTGATCATTGTTACCTAGAATTGTGACTGTCTTCCCCTTCCTTTGTTTTAGATCCTCCATTAAGAAGACAGCACCGTTCAAAAGAGAAAGGGCTTAAAGATAGAGCTGATAGTCTAAGACCCAGCAGGTCATGGGTAGCCCTATCACCTGGACCATCACAGGCAGACTGCTACACCAATATCCAGAAGTCAGCATGATGTTAGCTCTCCATCATTTGGCTTTTTATGAATAAGCAGTAGCTAGGAGTTCTTGTCAGCTAAGTCTGAACAATGGAAACAAAAGGCTTAGATTTTAATCTGTCCTGTCACCTGCAGGCTATATGATCTTCGGTAAATTACTCAAAATGGAGGCTAAAAATCAACTCAACAGAGTTGTTGGGAGGATTAAATGAGATATTGTGCAGAAAGCATTGAGCTCGAAGAAAATCATGTAGTCAATGGGAGCTTTTGATGGGTTTGGCATCATGATTAGCTGACATAGGACATCCTTTGAAAGATTTCAGATCTGTCATCCAGCACATCTGAATGTCACAATTTCCTACTGCTTTAGCCCTGAGAATCCTTAGATCTAAAAAAGCTATTAGCTTGAAAGAAAATTCTGCTTTCTAACAGCTGTTTATATGCCCACTGTTTAACAAGACTGACCTGAAGGATCTCTGCCTGAAACTGGAAGAGACTCTCTAAATATGAATTATGAACTTCAAAAGTACTCTTGGTCAAGACAAGATAACTCAGCACAGTATTATTTCCCACCTGTCTTTTATGTCTCTCAGGCAGAATTCCTCCTTAGCCATCACTACACAATGGGCTTGCTTTGCTCTCTCTTTCAAGTTTTCACTTTGTAATGGGTACATATATCATGATCTCATTTTTCTTCTCATAGTTAGTTGGCTAAATCGCTCATTGATTTTTTTTCCTTATAGGACTTTATAAAAACTGGAGTGAAATTCTCTTATAAAAACTGATTGTGTGTAGTCCCACTCCTGTGATCAACACTTAGTGTCTACTGAAAGATCTATCAGATTCCCCTAGAGGGCAAATTACACAGGTTCCTCAGGCAGTGAGCACATATAATATTTTATTTAATCCCGCTGCAAAGATGAAGAAAACACACTGAAGAGATAGTGACTCATCTGTCTGTTCCAATAGGCAAGTTTCATCCATTTATGGAGACGGTAAGTGAAATAAAATGCTTTTGTTCTATGTAGTTACTTTTTCTTTAACTTTTTGTTTTAGTGTGTTCTCCTGTTTGCCAAACTTAAAAATACTGGATGGGATCCTGAAGCTACCAGAAGATTACTCTCCACCAGAAACCAGTATTTTTTCAAAAATGTGTATTGTATCCTAATGTGATCCGTATAGAAAGAAAGCAATCACTATTGCTGCTTAAAAAAAAAAAAAACTAATAAAATGTATATGATTTAATATTATATTTATCATATAAATATATTTTAAAATCTTTATGTTTCCCTAAATGAAGACAGGAAAATATTTTCTGTAGAGGACCGCATAGGAGATATTCTAGATTTTGTTGACCACAGTGTTTCTGTCTCAACTATTTAAGTCCACAAAACAGCCACAGAAAATATGTGAATATGTGAATCCATGGGTGTGGTTGTGTCCCAATACAACTTTATTTGCAAAAATTTGTGGCATAGTGTAGTTTGATGACCATCACTCTAAACTGTAAGATCACGTGATTGATTTCATTAGTCTTCACCATTATCTACTGGCACTGCCTGGTAGAGGTGTGTACTTCCCCACTCCTTGAAGTTAGAGTTTCGAGCAACTTGCTTTGATGTGAGTCAAATAAGTGAGTATGATCCAGGGCACTTACAGGCAAAAATTTTGAGAACAAGTTTATGCTTTGGCACACTTTCTTTCCTTGTGCCACACCAGCAGGCAAATTTCCAAATAGAGGCCACTCTGTCTTCTTTGGGCTGGAGGTAAATATGATATGTAGCAGACTCACAATCATCCTATAGAAGACGTAGCATGGGGAAGTAGATCCATGTTATCAGCCTCTGAGTTGCATTTGCTGTTGCACCATAGCTTCACCTCACACAACTGACATAGCTCCTCAAATTTAGGGACTACAAAATAACTCATTCAATGTGTTTTTGCTAAAAAGTAGCATGAAGGGGGCCGGCACTGTGGCACAGTGGGTAACGCCCTGGGATGAAGCACTGGCAGGCGCCAGTTGGAGACCCGGCTGCTCCACTTCTGATCCAGCTCTCTGCTATGGCCTGGGAAAGCAGTAGAAGATGGTCCAAGTCCTTGGGCCCCTACACCCACATGGGAAGACCTGGAGGAAGCTCCTGGATCCTGGCTTTGGATCCGTGCAACTCCAGCTGTTGCGGCCAATTGGGGAGTGAACCAGTGGATGGAAGACCTCTCTCTCTCTCTCTCTTTCTCTCCATCTCTGTAACTCTGCCTTACAAATAAATAAATAGGCCGGCGCCGCGGTTCACTAGGCTAATCCTCCGCCTTGCGGCGCCGGCACACCGGGTTCTAGTCCCGGTCGGGGTGCCAGATTCTGTCCCGGTTGCCCCTCTTCCAGACCAGCTCTCTGCTGTGGCCCGGGAGTGCAGTGGAGGATGGCCCAAGTGCTTGGGCCCTGCACCCCATGGGAGACCAGGAGAAGTACCTGGCTCCTGCCATCAGATCAGCGCGGTGCGCTGGCCGCAGCGCGCCAGCCATGGCGGCCATTGGAGGGTGAACCAACGGCAAAGGAAGACCTTTTTCTGTCTCTCTCTCTCTCACTGTCCACTCTGCCTGTCAAAAATAAATAAATAAATAAATCAATAAATAAATATTTTTTAAAAGTAGCATGATAGACCTTAAAAATATTGGCTGAAAGGATAAGTAGCTATTGTAGGAAATACGTAATTGGTGGTAGAATTAGCAGTAGGGTGCAATAGCAAGAGTTCAGATGAAATGTATTAAAATAGTACTGGAAATGCAAAAAAAATTACAATAGTACTGGAAACACAAGGAAGTTATGAGGATGTGAGGAACTGAGGCATTTGACAGCCAACAAATTGCTTTATTGTTCAAGCTGGTTTATTTTCTGTTGCTTGTAGACAAAAGCATTCTAACTGACAAGGGTTTCACACACAGAAGGTAAGGGGCGCTGAGTTTCTGTACTTAGCTGTGAGGATAATGACTATGCTCACACATAAGTTGCATATCACGTTACTCCTGAGAAACCACCTTGTATTGAGATTGCAATCTGATATTCCTGTTTTAAGAGGTACAGGTTCTCTGGGCAGTGTGGCCAAGGGGGTTGACTTATGTTAGTGATGCCTGCGTGTGCCAGAGCAGAACTGATTGGAGGAAGGCCTATGAACTGAATAACATCACTATCTGGAGTAATGGCAGCTCTGGCGTGATAGTTATGAGTGGTGTTAGTCCACCAACAGCATTGCTATAACATCAAGTATATCTTCTCTCTTGACCTTTGCAATGTTTCTTCTCTTCTCTATTGCCCAGAGATCTGAGCTACACTCCCTTATGGCCTTAGCAGACAGAAAACACATCATGTTGGGCAATATGCAGATATCTTTTTATCAGTAATAAAGTTGTATTTGTGGAAACTTTGTGTGTGGGTACCAAAAATGACTTCCAGCCACCTTCTATTTAATTCAGCAGAACTATCCCAAGCTCCTGCCCTAAAATATTTTATTTACATCTATCCTTCTGAAATATTTGGAGCTAATAAGCATACAAGGAATGTCCTTAGTCCACTCAGCAGCTGGTATCCAATTTTGCCTTCTAAATCCATTCTTCCTCTGAATGGCATATGAATGCCAGTTTATGATTAACTGGATGGCTCAGTTCAAGGAAGTTTCAGGAATTAAACTGTGTAGGTGCTGCACTTTTCTGAGAAGAGTATAATACAAATGACTCCTTTGTTAGAAAATAAATTTGCTGACAGAAACTGATTCAGTGCACGACAAAAACATACATATTAACTAACCCAGCTTCTCATAAGTCCCAATGAATGCTTGTATCACTTGACAACATCCAATAAAGGATTTTCCAGTTCATATTTGAACAAATCGATGTATTATAAATATCAATGAGAATTATTTTTGAACCATTCTAATCTTTGGGAAATTCTTTTTTACATGACTTTGATATCTACCTTTTGCAATTTCCAATGGCACTTTATTTTCTCTAAGAATATCTGATATCTGCCTTTGCAACTTCCAGGGGAATATTATTTCCTTAAATACATCTAAAAGGGCTGGCACTGTGGCATAGCAGGTAAAGCCACCTCCTGCGGTGCCGGCATCCAGTATTGCCATCGGTTCATGTCCTGGCTGCTCCAGTTCCAATCCAGCTCTCTGCTATGGCCTAGGAAAGCAGTGGGAGATGGCCCAAGTCCTTAGGCTCCTGCACCCGGAAAAAGCTCTTGGCTCCTGGCTTCGGATTGGTGCAGCTCTTGCCATTTCAGCCATCTGGGGAATGAACCAGCAGATGAAAGACCTAAGACATCTCTCTCTCTCTCTCTCTGCCTCTGCCTATGCCTCTCTGTAACTCTGCCTTTCAAATAAATAAATAAATTGTAAAAACTAACTAAATAAATAGATCTAAAAAGAATTCCCTGCACCAAATTTTAAAAATTAAGTTAGCAAATTTATTTTTTAGATTCTTTCAGAAGTCATCCAGCTTCAATTATTATCTCTTTTCAGAATAGAACAATTATAACTAATTGCTTGCCATTATACCACCAAACTGTGTTAATGGGTATCCGTCTTTTTAGAGGCTAATTGCAGTCATGAAATGAAATGACTAATTAGTTTTAGTGCTTTAGAGCAGATGCATCAATATTTGAATTGTGCAGGTGTACATTTGCTCATGCTCTTTTATTTCCTCTCCAAAAGATGTATTTCTTTGAGTTCTGTTTGGAATTCCTAACAGATTACTCCAAAACTTATTATATTTCTTCATAAAAATCATAGTGAAATCTGTTGCTAAAAAAATTTTCAATAATGTTCAGTGTCCTTGAACTGCCCATATTTTATGGCAATTTTCATTCACTGATTTATATACTAGTTATTTTTGACAATTGTCTACTAAAATGTGAGTTCTTCAAGGGCAGATTCATTTTAATTCCCCTTTATGCCTCTCAAAAACTAAATGTTCTCCTCAATGAGTATCAAGTAAAATGTGAGTGCTTCCTCTTTGAGATTAGATTTCTTGTGCTGAACAAAAATTAAATTATATTTCATGAGTTTAAAGAAATAAAAGTTATAGGGTGGAAAAAATGTCTTGTAAAAACCAAAAATCTCACTGAGTCATGAACTTGTCTGTGGGACAGATGGTAACCTGGGGGCTGTTCCAGACTTCTTCTCACCCTGCTCCAAAGAGACAGACTGAACTACTCAGACACTGAATACCGGCACAGGGGGATTTTCCATGAGTAGAGCTTTCAGGTGGCTGTGATTTTCCTTATCTTAATTTATCTCTTCTTCCACACTTGGAAGGTGGTAATGATATCATCTCTGTGTGTGTGTGTCTGTGTCTGTGTCTGTGTCTCTGTGTGTGTGTGTGTGTCTCTCTCTCTTACACACACACACACACACACACACACTTGTATTTCACATACTCTTACACAGAAGAGGACTGCCCTGATCTTGCAGCCCATTGTCTAGGCTGACTCAGGCCCAGGCAAATGAAGCCAAATCTCTTTTCTGATTGGTTGCCTGAGCTGTCAGGTGTACCTTTTTGTTTTACAGGTGTGGTCATTTCTAAATCTCAGGTCTTGGTTCAGTAAGATGGTAGATCATCATGTATCTAGCTTGGGTGTGAGTCCTATTAAATTTCAACAAAATCTACTAGGCTTTGTCAATGACTTCTGAGACAGAGACCAAATTTATATTAAAATGTTATTTTATTTATTTAGTCATTGTCATATTCACGTATCCTTTTCCAGAATATGGTGGGAGATATTTTTCTGGAGAAAGATTCTGCTATTCCTGAGTCCCGTGGTCAAAACATCATTCTAACAGCAAGCTCATTTCACTCTGCTCTCGATATTACATCATAGCCTGCTCTTGCATACAAAATACAAACATGCTGTTACTTCCACATTGAACATTACATAGAATTCGACTTAAATTAAAATCTGCTACAAACAACTAGAAAAATATCTTGCTTAAGTCTCACAAACCTCAATCATACAGATTCTGTCTATTGCCTATATGGTCATAGGTAAGATATAATTCCTAGGAATATTATATAGCACAAAAACTGATAATACAGCAAACCCTGTGTGTCCAAATGAAGGATTAAAATAAGGAACTAATGTGAGCGTAGATTTATTTTCACACCATGCTATGAAATTCAAGCAAACAGCTAAATATTACTCTGTTTTATTTGGG